ATACGTAAAATGGAGAAATAGAAGAATGAAAATTGTCTTTGGGTAGGTCACATACTCAATGGTTAATTAGTCTAATTCTCTATTCGACATTTACGAAGTTCTAGATAAACTTGGATTTGTCTAGTGGTTTGGTGGTGTGATTTTGTCTAGTGGTTTATGTTATTTTAAACCAAGGAGACAAAATTGTATATACATAGTATTGATGATTCTGGTAATAGAGTCGTTGTGTTTGTATGTAGATGACATATTTATCTTTGGGACCAATCAAAGATAAGTGATTTTGTCAAGTGGTTTATGTTATTTTAAACCAAAGAGACAAAATGTGTACACAATTTATGATGATTCTGGTAATGAAGTCATCGTACATTTCTATGTATAAGATATGCTTATCTTTGGAACCAATAAAAGATAAGTGAACTTTGATAAAAAGTTGTTATTTCAATTCTCCATGTAGGACATGGGGTAGGCAAATGTGATTTTGTGTATTGAATCAAGCAGAACGACAAGAAAGAGTCCTTCTCTCAATTTTTCTGCATGAGAAGGTACTTGCATAAATTCCTTAGTAGGAATTGAAGTGAGTTAAAGACCCCAATGGATCCAAGTATGGAACTTATGGTTAATACTGGAAATCAGTTTTACAACTGGAGATGTATGCATGACTTACATGATGCTAGATATCGCATATGTGATCGAACAATTAAGTTGGTACGTGATGAATCCTAGTTCTCATCATTTGAAATGAAATGAGGCTTGTACTAGGATATGTCAAAGGCACACTGTATTGACTTATAGTGGCTTTCCATCAACTTTGGAAAGGATTTGTTGATGTTAGTTGGATTTCTCATGTTAAAGGTGATACTTCAACATTGAGATGAGTCCTCTTGCTTGGGAGATGTGCCATAATTTGGGCCTCTAGAAAGCAAACTTGAATCACTAATTTTCACTATGGAATCAACGTTTTTGTGGTCTTGATTTCTCTTAGAGAAGAGACTTAATTGTTGAGAGGTTTGGTTTATGACATATATTTTTGGCCTAAACCAATCTCACCTATTACTATCTTTTGTGATAGTAATGCTAATTTGGCTAAGGCATATTGTCAAGTGAAAATGACAAGTACGGTCATGTGGGAGTAAGGCACTGTAAAATCTGTGAACTGATCATTCATAGAGTTGTGTCTAGACAGTATGACCAGACTCGAAATAATTTGGTTAATCATTTGACGAAGTGGTTAACTAGTGACTTGGTGATCAACTCTGTGAAAGGGATGGGTTAAAGTCCATATAATTTCTGGTAATGGGACACCTAATTCCCCTCTAATACAACGTTAGAGGCTGAATTCAATGTGGAAAGCTTATTATCAGAAATTGAAGTACAAAATTTGTCATCCCGAGGTATGTGCTTGTTATCTGCATGAGAGAAGAGGATGAAGTTCAAAACTTCTTAATTGAATCTTTGACAAAGTGTATTATGCGGGGACACGAATAAAAGATTCGACCTACGTAAGCATGAAGTGTAGCCGCTTCAAGAAACCCGGACTTTGGTTTCGTGTGCGCTTATGAGAAGGATTGGACACATGGCGGATAATAGTGTCAAGGCACTTAGAAGTTTTGAAAACTTAAGTGTATATTATCTTCGAATATTCATATGAGTCAATGGGTTCAATCGTTACCGACACCCTTTGTATTCGAGTATTCGTCAAGTGTAATATACTAAGGTGAAAATTCAATCGTCACGACATTTTCATTTAGGCTTAAGTTTTGTTGGAACAATGTTGTGATTTTAGTGAATTCCAAGAATACACTAAAATGGGGGAGGAATGTTGGAAATTTGGTAGAACCGGACTAACCAAGTCAAACCGGTTTTGGGTTGGACCTACCAACCGGTTTGAGATTAGACCGACTGAACCAATATTCTAATTCCGTGAAGCGACACATCTCTTTGGCCTAGTGGCGGTTGCATTATTTTATGGATAAGGATAACCTTATGGATAAAGGCAACCCTTCATATGGATAAGGATAACCTTTCATATGGATAAAGACAACCTTTCGTATGGATAAAGGCAACCTTTCATGAAATAATGCATGGATTCGGCCCCTATAAATATGTGTGTGGTGGATGATGCCACATACCATAAAACATATTCTTCTTCTTTCTTCCAAAAATTTCTAGGTATGCTTTAGTGTTCTTGAGCCTAGAACCTAAAGTGGTGATAGTTTTATCCTCGGGAGAAATTTCCTATAACCCTAGGCTTGTTGAGGGTGGAAATATTCTTTTCGGAAAGTAAACGTTGTTCATGACTCTATCATAATCCTAGTCACCCGGTCTCGGGCTATCGTACGTATACCCTCGTCCCTAAAAGTCCCAACAGAGTTAGCGATGCTCGGAGCTCAAATGATCCAGTTACGGAGAAATCTACGATGAACAGTGACGTCGGTCAATGGTGACTATACTGCAAGAGTTTGGTACCGATGCTTAGAGATCTCCGTGAGGATCGCCATGGAATTGACGGAATCAGAATTGAAGATCAAACGAGCATTTTATGAAGCTCCGAAGTTGGAGGTAATTTCGTACGTATGAACCGAACCGATGGCATGCATTTGAAAATTTGATAAATAGTACAGGGCAATTTAGTCTTTCTCAGCAGCAGGGGTAGAATGGGAGTTTTAGTAAAATTTGGTTACCAAATATGTAATTGAACGTGAGCCAATACCCTCTTTTCGTATTAAGAGATATTAACTCATATCTTATTCGTTTGATGTGCAAACGACGAGCCGTTTGTGCCTATGGAACCGTGGGAACAAGAATGACGTGAGTGGCCCAATTGTGGGCAGATTTGGAGATACGGTCAGACATGATTTTTCAATTGATGAGGTTCACAAAGGCTAGCTCATTTTGACCTACATGGCTTTACAAAGTGAGTGGTTAAGGGGTAAATTTTATACTTTACGTGTTTTAATAAGTATTTGTTTTACGTGAAGTATGTGTAGTTTTTTGTTTTACGTCTGTACTTTTTAATGGAGTTATTGTCTGAGGCAATTGTATGAGTGTTCAATATTTACTTGTAGCTTTACGTTTATGTTTTTATGATTAGTAGTACTTCACCATTAAATAAGTTAAGGTGGAGAGGGTAACAAGTAAGGACAAAATACGTAACCTCGCTTAGCTAGCCACGTTCACGAGGGATCATTGATGGACGATGATACATAACGCAGTAGTTGATCAGGCATGGAACTAGACGACGATACGTAACGCAGCTCCACTGCCAAGTTTTAGGTATCCAACCGGATGATGATACGTAATGCAGTTGGCATATTACAGTTTTGACACCGGACGGCGATACGTAATGTGGATGGTCATAACTCATGTTGAGGGGCACCCCATTGTGAGGGTAGCTATGTTTAACTAAGCAAGTTTGGTAGTGGCACCAACCAAGTTACTTAGAAAGTAAACAAGAGTTTTAAGTTAAGTTTTATAGTGTGGCTAGTAACAACAAATCCCACATTTTTAAGAGTTAAAGTTTAAAGGGTGGAAGTATATACGACTTTCCCAAGTTATAAGGTGAACACTCAAAGAAATACCCTTAAGTGCTTTGAGGTTTTTAATAACGGCGTATACTGAACCCAACCCACTCACCATGTTGTTGAGAAGGACCGAGGAAGAAGCCAGTTGGAGAGCAACCAGCTCGAGAGCGGCCAGCTAAAGGAGGACTCCGATATGAAGATTTTCAATTTCATGTAGGACCTGAGAGGCTGAGACTTGATGCAAGTTACTAAGAGTGTTTATGGTTTTCAATGTATTCAAGGAATTGATATTGTTGAAAGTATTTATTAAAGCATATTTATGAAAAGAAATTCTCCAATTTTTCCAAGTTCTTTCAGCTCTTCTTTTGGTTCACTGTTTATTAAAAGCCAGTTGTGCCCGGCCCGGTTAGTGTGTTATATGCTTGCCCGTGGTACCAAGTTGGCAAGATGGACTTGGTGGCCACATGAAAGGGTACCAAGCCAAGAATAGTGATCGCAATGGGGTGGGGTGGGGTGGGGCGGGGTGGAGTGGAGTGGCACCAAGCGTTGGTCGGGTCAGATAATACCCGTGTAGGTACGGGACAAGACGGTCTACCCACTCTTACATGCTATTTGAAAAATATACTTAACTTTTACTTTTTACGATAAAACGAAAGGAAAACACTTTATGAATGAAAAATAGTGATAATAGAATGGTTAATTGAGTCTAACTAGTTGAAAGATCAAGTATTTGAATAAAAAGTCAAAATAAAAGAAACAAAAATAGATATTGTAAAAAAATTGAGATAGAATGGGCCAAGAACATGGCATGATGGGTCGGAAGTAGATACCCATGCCTAAACCCCACAATACTACATTTTAGATAATACTCGTCCTGTCGCGGATCTAGTTGTATAATAACCGATAGGAAGGGTTCAAATTGCCATCCTGGTAAGGAAGGGGATGGGGTATCAAGATGGTGACACAGTTTGATAGCAAGCCATCCAAGTACCAACTAGAAGAGATGAACCTATCAACAAGTTTACAAGGCCGACAACATGAATGAAACCAAACATCTAGAAACTAAGTATGGGACCCAATGAGGTAAGTTGATGAGACGGGCTTGCCAGCAAGGAAACAAGGTACAAACTTAATGAGACTCCAAAAAAGAAGTATGGAGATCAATCCAACAAGACGAATTTGGTGACAAGTTGACAGGGTACCAAGCCGGCAGGCAGGAAAGTGTTATGAGACAACTACCTTTTCAAGACTAAGTATAGAACTTGGGTGTGGAAACTTGTCCGTCAAGGTACTAAGCCAATGAGATGGACTTGCTAATAAGCTGATTAAACTGACTTGCCGACAGGCCGGTAAGGTATGAAGCCAACAAAAACTCGTATTACAAAACAAGTTTTGCAATTACAAAAACTCATATTATGTCATTTTTCAATTTAAAATGAAAAATTGTGTGGATGCTCATAGTCAATTTGCACCTTATCTCATTCAAGGTAACGTTTATAAGTAATATAATAAAAACACGCTTAAGCTTTTAAGCTTTTAGGTACAAAATGCTTCTACGTAAAATCAAACTTTTTTCTAAGTAATGTAGTCAAAATCGCACTTTAAACCTTATAAAATTGCGCTTTTATGCTTATAGGTCACACTTTTACGTGGTACCAAGTTGGCAGGATGTGCTTGGTGGACACATGAAAGGGTACCAAGCCAAGAATAGTGATCGCAATGGGGTGGAGTGGAGTGGCACCAAGCGCTGGTCGGATTAGATAATACCCGTGTAGGTACGGGACAAGACGGTCGACCCATTCTTACATGTTATTTGAAAAATATACTAAACTTTTACTTTTTACGATAAAACGAAGGGAAAACACTTTATGAATGAAAAATAGTGATAATAGAATGGTTAACTGAGTCTAACTAGTTGAAAGATCAAGTCTTTGAATAAAAAGTCAAAATAAAAGAAACAAAAATAGATATTGTAAAAATAAATTGAATAAAATGGGCCAAGAACATGGCAGGACGGGCCGAAAGTAGATACCCATGCCTAAACCCCACAATACTACTTGTTAGACAATACTCATCCCGTCGCGGATATAGTTGAATAATAACTGATAGGAAGGGTTCAAATTGCCATCCTGGTTAGGAAGGGGATGGGGTATCAAGATGGTGACACAATTTGATAGCAAGCCATCCAAGTACCAACTAGAAGAGATAAACCTATCAACAAGTTTACAAGGCCGACAACATGAATGAAACCAAACATCTAAAAACTAAGTATGGGACCCAATGAGGTAAGCTGATGAGACGGGCTTGCCAGCAAGGAGACAAGGTAATGAAGGTACAAATTTAATGAGACTCGAAAAACGAAGTACGAAGATCAATCCAACAAGACGAACTTGGTGACAAGTTGACAGGGTACCAAGCCGACTGGTGAGAAGGTGTTATGAGACAACTACCTTTTCAAGACTAAGTATAGAACTTGGGTGTGGAAACTTGTCAATCAAGGTACTAAGCCAATGAGATGGACTTGCTAATAAGCTGATTAAACTGACTTGCCGACAGGCCAGTAAGGTATGAAGCCGACAAAAACTCGTATTACAAAACAAGTTTTACAATTACAAAAACTCATATTATGTCATTTTTCAATTTAAAATGAAAAATTGTGTGGATGCTCATAGTCAATTTGCACCTTATCTCATTCAAGGTAACGTTTATAAGTAATATAATAAAAACACGGTTAAGCTTTTAACCTTTTAGGTACAAAACGCTTCTACGTAAAATCAAACTTTTTTCTAACTAATGTAGTTAAACCTTATAAAATTGCGCCTTATAGTTCACGGAAACACGGAAACACTTTTACGTCAATACTCTTTTTACTTGTTTTATACTTCAGTTCAAGGGTGTTTTGAAATAAGCAGTATCAGGCCAGAAGTTGATTAGGGAGGCCTTGCACAACCCAAGTCCAAGGCCCAGCATGCCAGGCTGGGCTTCCTAGTAAGCTGCTACGGGCCGAGGGATGAGGGTGTAGAAAGTAAAAAGGTCCAATAGATGAAGATGAGGCATAAGCCAAAATAAATACAAGGTAATTTGGCAAAATCAAATATTATTATTCCAACTTAAGCCTCTCTGTATTTCTTTATTATTATTCTCACCAAAGCAAATTGGCGAATTCAAATCAAAGCAGGAATTATTACCAGAGGGTAATAATGCAGCATCAGCCGCATGAAAAGCGGAAGAATTGACCGCTTCCCAGCTACCTTCAAATTCCCCTAGGCTTCGCTGTAAAAAATATTCACAGTATAACCAATCTCCTAAGACCAACCAAGTAAAAGGTAAATGAAAAAATAGAAAGGACACTTCGACACATTCCAAAGGTCGAAATAATGAGACGCTTCTGCAGGAAAGAAGGAGAGGAAGCAAACTGACGACGGAAAATTGGTCATGCCGCGCACTCAAAGGTACTGCGAATGTGAGGCAGCAAGAAGTGCGGCACCGATCCCCGAACCATCGTTGGCATGAACGACCTCCACAGCCTTGGAAACTTCCTCCCCAAGCAACTCCGTGAGTGTGTTCTCCATGCACTTGCTGTACTCGTTGTAGTGCTCGTACAACCCACCATCCATGGCGATCACAGTTTTCTGCAGCAGTTCGCCTTCTTTGGCCACGTCCTTTCCCATCTTCCTCAGGATAGCTATGACCCCAGCAGCGGCGAGGCGGGCACCACGAGTGGCGATGATGTTGCACACTTCAACAATCACCTTCCTCGTTTTCAGAGACGTGCTCGGTATCTGAACACAGCAGAAGATGAATAAAAATCATATGCCATATTTGTTTTCTGCGAGTAAAAGACCAGTTTTAGCTGTAGTCAAGGTGACCAGGTAGCAGAAGATACCTCTAGAATATCTTTCAATTTACTCGCTACGACTTTTAGATCTGAGGATGTGGCATGGTGCATTGCTGACATATCAGGCGTCCTGCATATGCCAGTAAATGAATGCAACATGAGTTAATTGTGACATCCTTGTTAACAGATACTAGTTACTAAGTTAAATATGATGGCTAATTATTCTAATAAATAAGCATATCATAGCTTAGGACCGGACCATAAAAACACTTCAACATCCCCTGCTAGGGAGACAAAACTCCAAGACTATATGTCATGAATATGGGAATAAGAAAGTTGATATACCACTTACCTAAGTATAAAAGGAACTTGGAGTTTAGATGGCACAGTTTCACCAAAAAAGGAAGCTTCTTCAGCCATCTTTAAGAGGACACGGCGTACAATTTCCCCCAAATACATACCGGAAATTACCTTCTCAAAAATCTGCAAAACACAAATTGACTACATACCTGAGTTGCTCTCCCAGACATAATGTTTGCAAAGAAATAAGAAGTATATAGTTTCAAATCACCTGTTCACCGGGGTTCAAGCTGTCCATATCGAGTGCATTATCAAACTCGGTTAAAGGAAGATGGGATGACTTAAAATTGCCCCACTCCATATTGATAACCTAGACATTCCACGAGTAACAGAAGAGTCGGGAACTTATACTTTTAAATCAATGATATTAAATTGCTGCATAAAAACACTAGAAGTAATAAAATCTGCTGATACCATTTCTCCCGATTTAGGTAGAGCACCATGCCATTTCGGTATAGCTTGTGCTCGCTCGACATAAGCAGCATTAGTTCCTGTGCCCAAGATAACAGCAGCAGCAACATCCTTGTTGGTGTATCTACCTCCAGCTAGAGTTCCAACAGTATCATTCACCTATACCCAAGACTAGAATTAATTAAACTGAAAATTACTGAGTTTTGATTCCTCAATGGTATATTGCACATCTTATAATTAGTCTTTCCAGTTTCTTTATAATGAATGATAGGGCAGGGCTGGTGTTGACAAAAAATGCATGACTCGAACAAGAGACGATCAAGAAAGTATTAATGATGAAGATTACCAGAGCAGAGACATGCATTTCCAGGTTCTGCCTCTTCATGGCTCTGGTCAATTCTGTCACAACATCTTGACCAACCTAGTTTAGAGGAATTGATTACATAACTCTTAATCAGATTAACCACTAACAAAAGAGAGGGAGACAAACAGTGTATGCCCTACAGAACATAGATAGTTAAAACTAACCAATTCATCAATGGAAAAGCCCTTTGTCCACCGAACCAGAGTCCCAGAAGCAATGGAAGTTTGATTGACAGGGAATGAGAAGGTGAACCCCAACTCTCTCTTTCTCCCCGGTGGAAGCTCGTGCTCTTGACCTTCTTGAGCAACAAATTTTGCTAGCTCTGCTGCAATATAGTCGAAGAGCGCCTGAAACCAGTGACACATAATTACCACACGAGAAAGACACTGTCTGCGACATAAACACCTTTGTGTACTGCTACTGTTCAACACTTACATCTGCCGCCCCAGTCATCAATTCAGGAGGGATTGGCACCTCAGCAAACTCTTGGTTAACAAGTCCACCATTTTGGCCTCCTAAATGCACCCGCAGCACACGAAAATTCGTCCCACCAAGATCCAAAGCATAGTACAGCCCAGTCTCATGACTTGAAAAAGAGAACAATCGCAAAATCAACTCAGCTATATAGGAACAGACATCGACCCAAACCTCCTTCCCACTTTTGTATACTGAATATTCAAATCTCAGGTGTGGAGATTCATTCATAGACAATGCTTTAGGCCACCATGGTAAGGGGTTTGAAAGAAACCAAACAGCCAAAATGGAAAATGAAAAGAGGAATCAATGCTGATTTGGAAAATGCAAAGAATGCGTCACTGTTATTATTACATCATAACAGTTCACACAATGAAAATACTTTTTTTCTTTTTGGAATAATTCATATGGCAACCATTAGTATTGCTAGGAAGTCATTATCCTAACTCCATTCCACTGAACAGGGTTTGAACTAAATCAGCTCGAAGCCCGTCCATCCACAGAGGAATCACCGCAATAGCTAATCAGATGCAATTAAGCGCAGCCATGAAACTACTCAGGAATTGAATTGGATCCGGAAATTGCTTGGAATGTTCCCAGATTCAAATCGGATCTCACGAGAATTGGGATCAGAGATTCAATCGAATATAAATAAATAAATAATAATTAGAATCGGAGAATATGAAAAATCAAATCGGAAGAAATTCTATGCATACCCGGTGGGCAAATTGTCGACGTAGCTGATGAGCATCTTGAGCTTGCTTCCACCTTCAGATGCAAGACCGGCATGCATCTCAACGACCATGGCGTCGGCGACCTGCTTGAGCTTGGCAGTTGGGGTCCCGCATTTCTCCTCCAGCTCCTTGACAATCTCCATGGCCCGCCCCCACTTTCCGTCCTTCTTCATCTTCTTGCGCAGCACCACGCCGGCTGCGACGGCGCCGGCCACCGCAGCCACGCACACCACCGTCACCACCACCTTCTTCTCCATTGCGGCCCCCCAAATCAGAATAAACAAAAGATTAACAGAACCAGATGCAGAGTAGGCCCCAAAAAAAAAATGTCGCTTCGCGAAAGATTGCGGAATTGGTCGAATTTGCAGGGAGGAAACAGAGAGAAATTGGGATTTTGTTGCAGAAGAATCGGATCTAATCTGAGGGAGAGAGAGAGGAAGGAGAAGAAGCAGCTGAAAAGGGTGGGAGATGTTTGTTTGTTGTTCAAGGCTTTGGCTCTCGGGAGGAGAGGAGAGTGTTTTAGTTCACCTTTCTTTTCTCTTCGATTAATTATTATTATTTATTATTTAAATAAAATTAGGGATTTGTTGTTTTTCGTTTTTATTTTTGAATTCTTTGTTTGGTTTTGCGCTTTTGGGTATCTGAGATAGTCCGGTTGCCTGTTATTAGTTTGGTTTGTTTGTATCCAAATGAAATGAGTACACGAGGGCGAGGGAGGGTAATGATAGGATATGATGATGTGTATGTGCTGTAAGGTGTGCTCCACTGAATTTCCTTTCTTCCTTCCTTCTTCAAAGATCTCTTGCTTTGCACACGTGTCTCGCCCGAGTGAAGGTCAACTCCCTGGTTTAGTCAAAAAAACGAGTTATGTGATGGATTCTTAAATTCAAACCAAAATGATTATCTGGATACCAACTATTGTGAAGCTCGTTAAAAGATCAATCTTCTTTCACTATTGGATATCATGAAATTGGATTTAAAGGTCCACCTGGATCAAATTCATTACCAGTAATCCATCCACCGTCCGCTGATTTTTTAACTAATCTTTGAACTGGAAATAAATGGATATGTGAGGGCTAGTTAATACCACCACAAAGTCTGAATTATTTAAAAAAAAATTAATTTTTATTTTAAATTATTCAATATAAAAATTCTAGTACGAACATTTTTTTTTGTTAGTGTTGACCAGTTATGTGTTAGTTGATTGGGTTTAAAAGTGATAGATGTGGCAATTAGGTGGAGTTATATTTACAAATAATTAAAAATAAAGAGACATTTTATTTAAAGTTTCAGTGTTCGCGACGAAGTGAAAAGATGAAAAACTTCTTTCACCGCAACACACACATCGTCGATCAACGCTCTCTTCGTCGTTGGCGATAATTCCCACATCTTTTCTTTACATCCTTCCAGTGTCTTTCACATGCGGAGACCCTCGTAACTGGACCTATGAGGATGAAGCATATGTCTGTAGGGGTGGACAATGAGAAACGGGTATTTAGGTATACTCATACTCGTCCCTTTTTTAGGGTTATGGGGTACTCAAATACCTTTTATATTTATTACGGGATGGGACTTGACATTAAGAATTTATAATATTGGGTACCCGCGGGTTACCTGATAACCCTCGTTTAGATAATATGGGTACCCGTAATACCCATTACAATCTATTCTCTATACAAATACAATAGTCAATACATATAATTAAATACAACTAGTAATCAGCCCGCGCTCCGCGGCGGGATAAGTTTGGCTTGAGTAATTTCATGGATTATGATATATATTTGTATGCATGTAATCTGGAAACGGTTGAGATAATTGTTGGATAGAGTTTGTTCTATGGTATTGTTAAGCCTCGGCCATGGTCTGTCACGTAGAGATGTCAACATATGTTATCAGCGTACACGGGGCCGTTCGATTATGTGACCTAGTTGTCCTCATCAAGCATCATAGTTGTCAAAGCAAGGATGCTGCCATTGTAGATGCATTATAGTTGGGTGCACGAAACTGTAAAATCCCAAAATCCTTGTGAAAAACAAAGATAGTACGTAACAGCCTTGTGAAATCCCAAAATCCTAATCAAATTTAAACATTGTTTTGTCCTCGTTGGACCTTGAGAATGAAAACTTAGTTAAGGAAGGAGGATAATAGAGGCAGCAAACACGCAGCAGGGACTTTTTCTGTCATTGGTGATGACGATCACTTGTCGATTCTTGAGGTGTGCCAAAGTGTTGAAACTCTGATGTGAGGTTTGGCTGGTGCGGTTCAGTTCTTCAGATCCGAGGAACCGATGTACAGTTCTCCTGCAAACATTATGCTGCATTTTTTGATCAGCAACGCCTTAGCCGCATCCTCATCGAGTTTCACGTACTTGCTTGGTGACATTCCGATTATTGAGAGAGTTGCCTCATGGTTCAGTATGGCATCAATATCCTCAGATCCTTGTTCACACTTGACTTCGAGCTGATAGTGCAAGCTGGTCATAAATGTAAGCGAGAAGTTATGTTAGTTTCTTTGTGGATAAATTAGTAAAAATAGATGCGCATTGAAATAGGAAACATACTCTGGCCATTCCTCAGTTGTTCTGCAGATGCTTTTTCGAAATTTCATCTGTGATCTGTGGAACTTGGCACGGTAAAGCACCTAATACGAATGGTATATCTTAGTTAGTAATGTTTATTTATAAAATGTAACTGCGGGATGTAGCTATTTATGAGGCATTTTGTCCACGACTAACCTTGTGGCAGCTCTGATCAGATGCAAGCATAGCTTTGATGTCAGCAAGTGTTTTCTTCTCAACTGTTGATCGAAGGCAACCTGTTTTCTTACTGGTGTTGGCGTCCATGTAGTAGACCTGCCTGCGACTATGAAGGAAGCTGGTTTTAGCAAAATAATAAAAAGTGTTATCTTTGTTCTGGTCGGTTGGCAGTATATATGAATCGAAGAATGAATAACACTTGTTCGGAGAGAAATGTACATGTGCATAATTTCTTTGAATGTGCCTGCATAAGATCTGATTATCAACTGACTGCCAGGAGTGGATTCAAAACGATACTTATATTTCTGGCTGGACAGAGGCGGCACTCGAATAGCAGCTTTGATTGTAACAATGAGGGGCAGATGAGCCTCAGCTGTCTGCGCATCCTCTAAGAACTTCGGGATGTCATATCCTCGATACAGCACAGATGCCTTAGCTCCACTGATTGTGACAGATATATGTAAGGTTGGTGATTCATATAATTAATAAAGTAGTATATTATTCTATAGAACGCACCTCACATCCTGTATGACCAGGTGGAATTCTCGGAGGGTACCACGAACTATTGTAGGAACACTAATACGCCTGACGCATGCAGTGATATCTGTGGTTACCGGGAGAGTTTGTCATTTTAAAGTTTACGTTTATTTTAGCATAGGAAACTGAGATAGTCAAGCGTACCTGTATGATAGTCAATGGTATTTGTCTGAAGTGGTACTATCGAAAAAGCCATCCCAATGTCCCAGCCGATGGGTAATCGTGGCTCATCTGGGTCTTCTTCAATTTTGGGGATGTTTTGTTCGGGAGTTATGTGTATCCTTAACTCTCATGCAACAATCCTAGGATTCTCTCTTGCTGGTATAGCCACCACCGAATCAATACGATAAAGGTTCCCGTCTTTAATCTTGCGAGAAAGCTCGCTGATGTCCTTTTCATCAACCATCGACTCGATCAATCGTGCCTATAAGATAAACAGTTTAGCGATCTCAAACTATATGGTACACTGGTCTAAAAGAACTTATGAATAGATTATGCAATTCTGTAACTTAATTGTAAATGAACTTTTTTGTCTATCCAAATCATGTGCATGCTGAGGTTTTTAAGCCCGGGTGCCTCTCGGAATTCGAGCCACGTCATCACAGGCCGAGCAATGACTATGCGAGTATTTATGCCCAAACGCAAACCCCGAAATGGCATGCAAGTTTCAATCGGATCTATAAGACAATAAAGAGAAACGAAATGGATTTTTTATCTTTCTTGCAGAGGAATCGAGATTCTTGGGAGGATTTGTTTACGAAAATGGAAGTTGCTCACCTTTGATATCGGTGGGGACCATGTGAGAGCCATCTGTTGTCTGGCGGTTTTTGCCTAAACTCTCCATGCCAGGTGGGGTCTCTGTGCGAACAATACAAAAACCGACCAGAAATGTTGTTTCAGCAGTAAAAGCGGTGAAGAAGAGAGAGACGTGGACTTACCATTGCTTTAATGTTTGTCTGGTAGTTTCTGTGGTGGGGCTTCTTCGGCGGAGAAAGGTTGATGAAGATGTAGACGGCGGTTGTCGATGGTTGATGAGGGAGGATAGGGTTTTAAGGAGGATCGCTTGGTTTGAATTGGCCTGTATTATGGGCTTTTATTTAAATCATGTTTGTGACTATTAAGGCTTTGCATTGGTCATTGTATTATGGGCTTGAAAAAGGGCCTCTATGTTTACTGATTTACTTTGTATTGCCCTATAGTTTTGTGGATTGTGGTCCAGGGAAGGCAATTTGTACAAAATTGAGTTTTTTTATCTTACATTTAGATAAACACGGTTCTAATAACTCAGATCTTCCATTTATATGATATAAACTGCAACATGTGTTTGAGGAACTGATTGCCAAAAGTGAAGGTGAATGTAGTTCTTCATCATTCATTATTTGGACGCATGATCAAGACAAAACATTCACCTCTCTGAACTATTTAGATACAAACATCAGGGTCTTCCATACGCGCTAAATAGAATAACCGGCGGGTAGGCAATGGTCAAAGCGAGTACGTCAGTGAATTTCTTCGATCCTACAAAAGAAAAACAACTGTTTCAGTAACATTTACTGATGCAAACATTTGTTAGTTTAATAGGTTTAATGGAATTACCTGATAAGTAGTTTAGGTATCCACTATATTGGCAAATGCTTCGTTGAAGACTATGTTTCTTGTAAAGTCATGAGGTATTTCTGGTGGGTTTTCTATAAGAATCCTCAAACCTCTTGCTGATTTTACTCTTGAAACTCCCACATAAAGTTGGTCATGACTAAACACTGGTTCAGGCAAATATATCCCAACTTTTTCAAGTGTTTGCCCTTGGCTTTTATTTATAGTCATCGCATAGCATAATCGCACTGGAAATTGCCTCCTTTTGAGTATGAAGGGCCACTTGGAGTTCTCCACATTCAACACTATTCTTGGTATAATGACCTCATCAGTGTCATAAGAACCACCCATAATGTTGCCTTTTATATAGTTGTCGCCCAACGATGTGATCATTATTCTTGTGTCGTTGCATAAGCCAAGACCACGGTTTAAGTTGCGTAAGAGCATAACTGGTGTGTTTACCTTTAATGTGATCTCGTGGCTTGGTACTCCGTTGAATGTAAGAGTGTTGAGAAACTCAGTTGGATAGCTTTCATCAAACGAATCCGCTGTTTCTGTCGATAGCAGTAGCGAGTCTGAGCTGTAATAGGTTGTCAGATATCCTGGAACATTTTGCATCATAAAATTATTAATTGTAGAAACAGTTGCATTCGTTGGAGTAATTATGGCTCTACTGGTGAGGTACTCTGGGTGTCTATGATTTTGGGGGAACAAATCATAGATATCATCCACGATCGACTAAACAGGATCAACTCCAGGATCAATTAGGAACAGTTGTGGAATCTGTATCCAATCCATTGGGGCATCTTCTCTGAATGATCTTGCTTTAAGTTTTCCATCTCCTAAGGCGCGGACCCATTCTGGGAATGTATATCCATGTATTAGTCACTGGTCAGCATGCTGGGCTTCTGTGATTCGCATATTTGTAGATAGCTTCATAACTTTAAAATAACTCCATAGTTTGGATCTAGTCAATGAGCTATCAACAGTTTGTTCACGCCCAGCTTCGGTTATAACTGGGAGAGTTTGGCAAAAATCTCCACAAAAAAGAACAGTCTTTCCTCCAAAAGGTTTATAGCTATGTCCATTCAGCGGAACATTTAATATATCACATAAACTGCGATCCACTGCTTCAAAAGCTCAGCGATGTGTCATGGGCGCTGATAGACCGTTAGTTACACATGTTTTCACCCCTGTTCTTACACCGTTGGAGATGTGGTTTCTCGTGTTTTAGACCGATTTCACGCTAGGTTGTGCTTGTTTGTGATATTTCAGGTCCTGGCAAGTGAATGAAGGTTTAGGAGCGAGTTCGGGGTCGATTGGGCGAAGATCGGGCGCGAGGCAAGTCACAAAGGAGATCACACGGGCTGCCCTGATGTTCACACGGCCGTGTGAAGGAATGGCCTGGCCGTGTGGGATTCTGCGAGAGTAGACACGGGCAGAGCAGAAGACCCACACGGCCGTGCAAGTGGCCGGGTTGGCCGTGCCACATTCTGCGAAAGCAAACACGGGCAGGAAGGGAAGTTCACACGGCCGTGCCATTCTGGCCGTGCAAAGAGCCTGAAATTCGACTAAATGATACGCTGCGTTTTGACTCACACGGGCAACTGGGTGAGCTGCACGGCCGTGCCACCCTAGCCGTGTGAGTCGGGATTTTCTCCTTTTAAGCAGAATTTCAGCCACAATTCGGGGGGATTCGGGTTTTGGAGAAAGAGAGCGATTCCTAGAGAGAGAAAGTGACGAGCAAGAGTTCCCAAGTGCCCTAGATTGATCTTCAACACCATTGGAGGCCAGCTTGAGCTTGGAGAAGTGCCAATCAACGTCCAGAAGCAGGAATCCATCCTTCGCAGTATGAAGTCCGTGTCTGATTCTGCTTTTGCTTTCTTCTCCATGGAGTAGTTCTCCCATTCATCTGGGTATGGAGAACCCTAGATTTGTATGTTAGGCTTTGATTGTATGAACCCAAGTACTGCTTCTATGATTGATTATATTCGATTGAGGTTTTAATGATTGAATGACTTGAATCCTGATCAAATTCCTGTTGTTTCTGCTTTAACCTAGAATGAGAATATCTGCCTAGGTTAATAGAGTATCCTTGATTGAAGGTAGGGAGTTGGTGACTTTAGTCGAGGAACCAACTCACTATTCTGTACCGGATTTACTCCGGTAGTGGAGGTTTCGTTCTTAGGGCCTCAATCTGTCTACTCCGGTGGAGGTTAGTCGCCCGCTAGAGATTCAGATTGAGAGGGTCTGAAGACCTTTAGTCGAGACTTCAGGCTGTTTAAGAACCTTCCGCAGTATAACTTTCATAGAAACTGAACTTGGTAATTACAATCCGGCTTAACTGCAGTCTAGGGGGAACCATATCCGGGTGACCTCTCTTAACCTGAATACAACCGTTTACCTGCTTTGTTAGTTTGATAGTTTAGACTTGCATTCCAGTTTCATTGCTAGATAACACGAATTCACTGAGTAGTCATCATATCTAGGACCCGGGTTGATAATTAAACCCAAACCCGCTATACTACGCTTTAGGAAGTGGTTTCACTTGGCCAATTCCTGGAGTGACAGTAGAGTCGAGTCAATTTTTTGGCGCCGTTGCCGGGGACGGCTAGGTTGTTGAAGAAAAGTGATTTCTGTTAATTTAGCTTTTCTTTTTGCTTTGTTTGCTTTGTCCCACTTGTGCCTTCACGGGTTTGCTTGCTTGAGTGTGTGCAGGTAGTGCATGACCCGTAGCCAGTCGGGAGGTTTACTGCCGTTGAATCCAGAGATTGACCGCACCTGTCGCCGGCTCAGGAGACAACAGCGAGCTAGACTGGCTACGGAAGAGCGCATAGACGGCCACGTGAGCAGTGATTCTGAAGAAGAGCACGGGATGGACGGAGAGTACAATCAACACCAGGGGAATCCTCAGCAGGCTCCCCCGGTGAATCAGGTCCTGGGGAACAACCCCATACCCCAGGATCATGGAGTTCATCATCCACCGCAGCCGGGTCCCACCTTGGAGTACTACTACACTCCGCGGATTGCTGACATCCGCCCGGTCATCCTCTACCCGCCTATCCCAGCAAACAACTTCGAGATCAAGCCATGCTGGATTCAGCTCATTACATCTTCCATCCAGTTCCATGGCTTGAAGAATGAGGAGGCCAGAGTGCATCTTTCTCGTTTTCTGCAGCTGACGAACGGGTTCAAGCTGAATGGTGTCCCGGATGATGCAATCCGCCTTCATCTCTCCCCCCATTCTCTGGCGGGGAATGCTAAGAGGTGGTTGGAGACCCAGCCCCCATTGTCCATCACCTCTTGGGACGATCTGGCTGACAAGTTCGTGCACAGGTATTATCCAGCATCGAAGACTACAGAGATCCAGCGGGAGATCACTCACTTCCGCCAAGAGCCAGATGAGTCACTTCGTGATGCCTGGGAGCGGTACATGGGCTATTTATGGCAGTGCCCCCACCATGGCTTTAGTGATGCATTCACAGTGGGGAATTTCTACAGTGCCCTCTCTCCAGATAGCCAGAGGGTGATTGAGTCTCTATACCCAGGAGGGGACATTCTTACTAAGACTCCACCCGAGCTGAACCAGATGATCAGTACTTTGGCTGCCAGAGATCATTCTTGGGGGCAGGGTAGCCGAGGCAGACAGTCCCGGGACCGTGGTGTGCACGCCATGGAGACCAGATCCGGGCTCGAGCAGCAGGTAGCTGAGCTAGTGCAGACATTGAAGCAGCCCAACAGTCTTATTCCGGGCAGAGGTTTGGCTACACCTCCAGTTGCTCAATGTCAGTGGTGTGAGAGCTCCAATCACCTAGTGGAGGACTGCTAGACTATGAGAGTCTACCACACCCCAGGAGCAGTTGGCCTTCATCACCAATGCACGGCGCCTCGATCCATACAGCAGTACATATAATGAGGGGTGGCGCCAGCATCCCAACTTCGCCTGGAGCAGCAACACCACTAAACCACCTGGTTTCCCAGGGCCAGCAGGTGGTTTTCAGCAGAGGCAGCCCTTCCAGGCTCGCCATGGGCCAGACCCACAGCAGCAGCCCTACCAGCCTAGGCAGGGGCAGCCATTCCAGCAGCCCCAGCGCCAGTTTGCCGAGCCAGCAGCAGCTCCGGCCCCAGATGACAGGATGACGAAGCTGGAAAACATTCTAGCTTCATTCATGACCAGCACTCAGGCTGCTATCACGTCACTGGAGGCAGGTCAGCGGAACCAGGGTGCCATTTTGCAGGATCTGCAGACCCAGGTGGGCATCTTGGCCCGCCAGAGCACCACCAGGGCACCGGGGACTCTGCCTGCCACCACTATCCCGAATCCTCGGGATCCTCACCAGCTCCAGCAGTTTGATGCCATTTTTACCAGGAGCGGTAAGGCCATATCTGCTGATCCTGTCCCGGCCAGACAGGAGGAACCACTACCTGTTTCAGCACTTCCAGCCGACGATGCAGAAGTGCGGGTGGAGAAGGAAGCCCCTACTCCTAAGCCACAACCAGTGGTTAAGGAGCATGTGCCCCAGCTTCCCTTCCCCACTCGCCTACACAAAGACAAGCTGGAGACTGAGTTTGCCAAGTTCATGGCAATGTTGAAGCAGCTCAACATCAGCATACCGTTCGTGGAGGCACTGTCGAAGATGCCCAAGTACGCAAAGTTCATGAAAGATCTCCTCTCCAACAAGAAGAAACTTGGGGATCTCTCGACAGTGTTGCTGAGCGAGGAGTGTTCTGCTATCCTGCAGAACAAGCTGCCCGAAAAGCGCAAGGATCCAGGGAGTTTTACTATCCCTCTTACTATTGGCAGCATGCATGTAGGCAAGTCCTTGGCGGACCTAGGCGCTAGCATAAACGTCATGCCATATAAGTTGTTTAAGAAGCTAGACTTAGGTGAACTTAGCCCTACTAGGATGAGCATTCAACTCGCTGACCGGTCCATTGTGCATCCTAGGGGTGTCATAGAGGATCTGCTTGTTAATGTTGGTGCATTCACATATCCTGTTGATTTTGTTATTCTGGATGTAAATGAGGATGTGGATGTGCCTTTGATTCTAGGTAGGCCGTTTCTTGCCACCGCCAAGGCACTTATTGATGTGCATGATGGTAAATTGATTCTGCATGCTGGTGATGAACAGGCTACTTTTTCTGTGACTGAGTTTGATCACTGTACTATGATTGATATCACCCCTGTGCATGCTATGTCTGATCAGGTACACGAGCCTGTCGTGTATCCTTCTGCACCTCCTAGTTTGCAGGACCCTCCTATCATTCCTTCACCGCCACTCCATCCAGCCTCGCCTCCGAACAAAAAGCTCAAGGAGGAGTGGCGGCCGAAGCAGCAGGTTGCTAAGCCTGCACGGAAGAAGAGTGGAGACCACTATGAGCTGGTCCCACCTCCTGCACCACGACCACCCTGGCCGTCTGGGTACTCGCTCGCCTGCATCTTACCAGATGGGCAGGCCGAGCTGACTGATGATGGTGGTCGCATCCGGCGGGTGCAAGGCCACAACCTCAAGCTGTACCTCAAGAGCGACGTGGATCCGCTCTTGGAGGCACCTGTTCCTGCACCGCCCTGAGAATCCACCATGGGCGTCCAGCTAAAAGACGGTAAAGAAGCGCTGGTGGGGAGGCAACCCCACCACGGTTTGATTTTCTTTCTTGTGTTTTGAGTCGGATTGTAACCCGGTTTGGGTTTGGTTGTTTTCTTTTGGTTTGGATAATATTTTATTGGGCTGACCATTGAACCTAACATATTGTGTTTGAGCTCTTCTGTTCCCCTTTGGCTGTGCTCACTCCGACTGCTCCATTTCCAGTCTCCTGCAGTCCGTGCATACCGGTAACATCGTTCCCTTTTCCTTCCCTCTTCTCCATTGAGGGCAATGTCGATCTTAAGTGTGGGGGGATGTTTATCTTTTGACTGCATTTGATCTGTTTGTGTGCTTGGAGCCTAGTCCACTGTCCAAATTTTTAAATTTGAGGGCTCCAAGCACGTGTTCCTTGCAATTGCCTGCTCAATATGCTTTGAATTGACAGTCTTTATAGTAATATGCAACCTAGGGAGGTAGTGTAGCACTACGGAGGATGTTGATGCATTTAAGAAGTCTCATTTCTTCTTCATATTGAGTTGGTTGATTGAGTGAATTAGTGATCTTAGGACCCTTGAATTGTGTGGTGTTGTGGATTCTCTACCTGTCATGGACTCTTGTATCATGTTTTGAGTTTAACAGGTGCTCAAAAATGTGCTTCAAAATAACGTCTCCCGTGCGAATAGGGCGAAAGTGTGTAAGGGGAGACGGGAATCCGTTCCCAATTTCCACCTACTACCTCCAGTCCCCTTACGTGTCTTTCCCCCGCACGAGGCTCGAGAAATCCGCTCCTGGCATTGCCGGTAAGAGCAGGTTGGGACCCTTGAAAAGAAAAGAAAAGAAAAATAACAGAAAACAAGCAAAACAGAAAAAAGAAAAGGGTTCCAACCATCTTCAAGAATAAATAGAGCACCTTGAAAAATGTGAGTCCATGATCCTTTGTTTTTGAGAATCTCTTCATCCATGATTCATTTGTCCTCTGTTCACTATTTGCCATGATGCCGACTCGATAAGAAGCTTTGAGATGACTTGTGCGTCGGTTGACCTCGTAAGTTGTTAAATGATCTAGGAAGTCCTCTACCTACGATCTGGGTTGTTTGTTGCTATAGAGGTCTGGAGAGTTGCATTGGTTTGAGTTAAGTTTGCTTGGGGACAAGCAAACGGTTAAGTGTGGGGGAGTTTGATAGACCGTTAGTTACACATGTTTTCACCCCTGTTCTTACACCGTTGGAGATGTGGTTTCTCGTGTTTTAGACCGATTTCACGCTAGGTTGTGCTTGTTTGTGATATTTCAGGTCCTGGCAAGTGAATGAAGGTTTAGGAGCGAGTTCGGGGTCGATTGGGCGAAGATCAGGCGCGAGGCAAGTCACAAAGGAGGTCACACGGGCTGCCCTGATGTTCACACGGCCGTGTGAAGGAATGGCCTGGCCGTGTGGGATTCTGCGAGAGCAGACACGGGCAGAGCAGAAGACCCACACGGCCGTGCAAGTGGCCGGGTTGGCCGTGCCACATTCTGCGAGAGCAAACACGGGCAGGAAGGGAAGTTCACACGGCCGTGCCATTCTGGCCGTGCAAAGAGCCTGAAATTCGACTAAATGATACGCTGCGTTTTGACTCACACGGGCAACTGGGTGAGCTGCACGGCCGTGCCACCCTAGCCGTGTGAGTCGGGATTTTCTCCTTTTAAGCAGAATTTCAGCCACAATTCGGGGGGATTCGGGTTTTGGAGAAAGAGAGCGATTCCTAGAGAGAGAAAGTGACGAGCAAGAGTTCCCAAGTGCCCTAGATTGATCTTCAACACCATTGGAGGCCAGCTTGAGCTTGGAGAAGTGCCAATCAACATCCAGAAGCAGGAATCCATCCTTCGCAGTATGAAGTCCGTGTCTGATTCTGCTTTTGCTTTCTTCTCCATGGAGTAGTTCTCCCATTCATCTGGGTATGGAGAACCCTAGATTTGTATGTTAGGCTTTGATTGTATGAACCCAAGTACTGCTTCTATGATTGATTATATTCGATTGAGGTTTTAATGATTGAATGACTTGAATCCTGATCAAATTCCTGTTGTTTCTGCTTTAACCTAGAATGAGAATATCTGCCTAGGTTAATAGAGTATCCTTGATTGAAGGTAGGGAGTTGGTGACTTTAGTCGAGGAACCAACTCACTATTCTGTACCGGATTTACTCCGGTAGTGGAGGTTTCGTTCTTAGGGCCTCAATCTGTCTACTCCGGTTGAGGTTAGTCGCCCGCTAGAGATTCAGATTGAGAGGGTCTGAAGACCTTTAGTCGAGACTTCAGGTTGTTTAAGAACCTTCCGCAGTATAACTTTCATAGAAACTGAACTTGGTAATTACAATCCGGCTTAACTGCAGTCTAGGGGGAACCATATCCGGGTGACCTCTCTTAACCTGAATACAACCGTTTACCTGCTTTGTTAGTTTGATAGTTTAGACTTGCATTCCAGTTTCATTGCTAGATAACACGAATTCACTGAGTAGTCATCATATCTAGGACCCGGGTTGATAATTAAACCCAAACCCGCTATACTATGCTTTAGGAAGTGGTTTCACTTGGCCAATTCCTGGAGTGACAGTAGAGTCGAGTCAGGCGCCTCATCCCATATGATTAAGGATGGTTCTTTTAGCAGATCAGCTAAATGTGTACCGTGTTTAATTGGACATGTCGATGTTGCATCTAGAATCAGAGGAATTTTGAATCTTGAATGTGCTGTGGATGCTTTGGGAAGAAGTGTTGCTGCGATACCTGATGATGCAACCAGAACAACTATTTTCCCCAAACTTCTAAGTCTTGCTGTAATTACATTATAGAGATATGTTTTACCTGTACCTCCGTGGCCGTATAAGAAGAATGTGCGGCCATCTTGTTGTGTACTGAACTGATAACAGCTGAATACACATTGGTTTGCTCAACGTTCAGTGACTGTAACATTGTGGTGGCTAGTGTATGTTGCTGATCTACATCGAAAGCAAGATGCTCATTTATAAGTGGATTCTCACCACTATCGCATAAACCATCTGATGGGAGTGGAAGATTAAAGTTCTCAAGAGTCATTGAGTGTGAGCTCAACATAGTCTGTAGTTGATGTAGAACCCAGTTCTGCAGTCGTTCGTCGCTGGGCCTCAGAGTCTGATCTCTGAAATCCTTTATTAAACTGTATGCATAATCTTCAGACATAGATTTCCAAGAAGAGTTGAACAATGTTATCGGACTTGGTATTTCACAGAACATCAGCATTGACACGAAAGTGCTTCGAATCACCCGTGGCATGCTAGAAGATGAGATATCTGCTAATACTCGTATCCATTCTGAAGAGTCTGATAAAAGGCCCAATTTTTCACAAGCTTTTTCAAAATCTGCACAAAGTTCTCCATTGACAGTCCTGAGCTGAGCATAACTAACAGCGCCGCGAATTTTTGTGAGCAGCATCCGGAGGAAGAAAACATCGCCAGAACCTGGTGGAACATATGCAATTCTGCCTATTGCGAATCCTTTCTTGCGAGGACTCCACTCTTTACAATCAGATAGCCAAGTGTAGTTGTTGGGTATCTGTGCATATGTCAGAATTCTCGCCTGGGGGTCTCTACGATTAAGCGCAAACCATTCTGTTAAGTGCGTTCGAACGGCATAAGGATTCCCCAAAACATTTCTTACATTGGATTGCTTCTTATAAGGTATTTTTTGCTGACCATCCAAATGAACTCCCAAGCGCACAACTGCTGGCTCTCTTACATGTATTGGATACTCATTCAGCCTCCATATAGCTTCATAAGATGACAACGATCGGCAGTCAATGAATTGCTGAGTTTCATCTCTGTATTTTGCGGATTGCACTTCTACATTATTGTGAGGTGCATCAGCATTTTCAGCAATCACCAATGACCTGTCTGGACCTTTTGTCACATACTTGAAAAGATATTTAATAAGCTTGCCTTTATGACATACCTCGACATTGATATGAGCCTGCATTCTCACCAACACATTTCGGTTGTATGGAACAACATGTCGATTGTCGAGGACTGAACTGCCCTTTTGAACCTCTATGCCCGAGTTTGATCTTCTATAAACGACATTTCCGAATTTGTCAAATGACGTGGCTGAGTTAAACTCTTTTGGGAATTGTTTGGAACATCTGTCGTTTGAGGATCATTTTTTGTCTCGCACACACGGTGCATTCGTGTTTGCTTCGCCACATGGGCCATGTAATATATATTTGCAAAAAGCCTCATATCCAACTGGATCTTGTTGAGGATCAGGAATTTCAGCTGAGATAACCTCATCAATGTTAGCAGTTGTCCTCAGTTTATTCTCCTCGGCCAGCCAAACCAGAAAATGTATGTGGGGCAGACCTTTTTTTTGGAACTCCACTGCATACATTACTGGCACAAAACAAAACATGTTAAGAAGCCAAATATTCATATATGTGCATTGAAAGACAAATGATAGTCAACGCTGAAAAAAACAAACTACATTAAATGACCAGGCTGATCTTACTTGCAATCGTCTTCCCAAAGTAGGAGTTTTTCTTAATGTCATCAATCATAATGCTAAGCTTAATGTGGAAAACCCTTGAGACCACCATCGGTTTGTCCGAGCTATTTGGACCAACTTTATCATGAAAAGCTTCTGTGATTTCTTCCCACAACGAATTACACGTAAATGTAATAAATAAATCCGGATTTCCAAGGAATTCAACCACTGCCATTGCATTCGTGATATAATTTTTGCATATATCGTGGGCTACCTATATAAGTCCCTCGGAGGACAACATGACCCACTTTATCCCCGTCGAGATCACCCCGCGCCATTGCATCCTGTTAGCCTTGATAAACTTCAACTCTAAGTTGTGGCCGTTGGCAGCGCAGAAATGCCAGCCTATTTAACCTATTGATTAATAGGCGTCGATACAAAAGTCCTGAAGAGCATTTCCAGGTTGAACAATTGTATGGCCTTCATTGATGCAATATTGGAGCCTAAATGTGTAGTATTCACGCTGAGTAACAAATTCTCTGCGCATAGAAGGAGGACAGAAAGCTGACCTGTATTTGATAAGCGGATGATAACCATCCTCTCCATATGGGAATAAGAGCGGGAAATGCAATGCATCAAACTTGGGATTGAGATTTGTAATTCTTTTTAAGCCTTCATAAATGTGATCAACAATGATATCTCGATAGTCCCTGTCTGGAATAAAATCGCCTGGTATGAGTGCTGCAATTTCAGTGCTGCTTGGCAAGTCGTATTGTCGATTTCTGCTCTTAGCTCCAAAAATTCGAAGTTTCAAATTTGTCGTTGTAGAATCCTGCAACTGCTGTCGAACTCGCCTGAATGTCTTGATAAGTTGATTGTTTTCATCCAGCATTTGTAGTAATAAAGTGAGCAATTCTGGCATAAGTAGAGCATCACGGGAAGCATAATTCGCCAAGCGGTTGTCAATTTCATTCTCTGGTTAAAAAATATAGAGCTGGGCAAACTTTGGTTTTTCACCATCAGGAGGCAACAACGAACCAATCCTATAATAATTATCTCCACATATTACCATTGAATAAGGCCCCCTTCCAGAGAGAGAGCGAGGGTCAATAGAAGCGCCAAATGATGTGAAACACAATGAACCATTGTACGGTCTAATGTTGTCCCTGAAATGCTTAGACATAGCACCACCATCAAATTGCAGAAGTTCAGCCAACAAATGTGGAGGGTGTGCTAAGAGGGGCAAACCAATGCAGCCTTTTTGACATCATAATGCATAAATTGAATTAGTCGTCGCTCGATGGCGGTCGAGCCTTTCCATATCCCAAAACAAAGCACCACAGTACTTACAAACACACTCTAGCTGACCAATCCTCAGAATATCATTGTGGAGTGGCTTTCTAGCCGTGGGAATATGCCTACCATAGAATGGAGGTTCGCCTAAATTCCGCCGATTCAAACGATCAGTTTTCTGACAGCTAGCTCGTGTTACTCGACCGATGCCTTCATTACATTCATCCCCCATATCACACATACTCTGTTCCTGACAAAATATGGGTCGAGTTATATCTCTGGATACCAATTGCTTTATATTCTGATAGCGCGTTTTCCTCGGCCGTGATGGACCTGATATGTATACAACAAACATAAGAGTGGTAAGCTTACTACAGTCAGCGGCCGATATGAACAAATGCTAGTTACGCATAATACAGGCATGGATATTTCATGCTTTGGACAGCAGGCGTAGAATAATGTGTAACTACATCACCAGCTGGCGATGGCGAAACTTGATGAAGATTCAATAATGACCCCCGCATGGTGCTCGTACACACAACCGATGTTTCCCCGAACACTGCTGACGTAGTTGAAAGATCCTCTGCTGGCTGTTTGGGAATTTCAATTCTAGCTCTTTTATGTGTTAAAGTCTGATATTGAGCTTTTCTTATTCTTGGAGGCATTGCCGCACAGTCTAGACAAAAGCATGCAAAAGGACAACGTCATTTATTGCTAGAAAGCTTCACTAATAAAGCTGAGATGAATTTGGATATAATGAATCAATAACAGACATAATTAAAGATTCACTCTACCTTAAACAATCAAAAGCGTGGTGGTTGTGTAGATGACTGTCCAAATCGGCTAGCAAGCACAAGATACAAATGAGAAGTCTTAAGTGAAATATGAAAGTGAGATGGGAGAAGTTCCCAGAGAAGTTGACACAAACCCAATGAAGAAGAAGACCTCCCTTAAAATGCATCATTATGGATATTTGAGATATGCAATCATATCTACCTATATTAAAATGTGTTATTATGGGTATCCGTGATATTAGATATGCATTAGTATATTGCTTTTCCACTCCCAAAATATCTAACTTTGTGCTAAATTAATTAAATGAGGAAAAGCAATCATATTAGTTTAATCTTTGTATAGAAAGAGGCTTCATTATGGAGACAAAAGCGATTACGGAGGAAATCGCTGGAGCAATTTTCCATTTTGGAACATGTGGCCTCAATTGGAATCCATAAATATTGGTATCCAACATAATTAACACATTCCTATTCCAGTTGCTCATATATGTTCTAACGTGTCTTTTCAGGACTATCAATTCCACAAAATGTCGAACATGTTTTAACACATCTTGATAACTAAATCATAGAACAGGTTAATTCCTGTATAAAACGTGAGCTTGTTAGACTTTAAAAGGAAGACTCAGCGAACATCTAGCAAAAAAGAAGCATGACTACGCTAAGAATGGACATACATTGTACCCGCAAAACGAAACAACCTATTTAAGCAACGATAAGTAGAAGTCATACTACATATAACATCTCACAAGGGAAAAAAACACAGTTGCAATATTACTATAAGGTACGACGCAAAAGTCACATATAGCAACCTTCACCACCTCAATACCGCCAAAAGAACTACTATCCGACAAAACATAGACGGTTACATAAACGAAAAGCACAGAGAATATACATCCTCTGATAACATCCACATAGGTGCAAACAACACAATTTCGAGACCAGAATTCCCAAAACACGATTGTCCAAAAAAAGAGAATAATTTGCAAAAGCATAACGAAACACAATATCTCCTCGAACATAAGACAACTACAATCCCAGTGACACCATCAAACACATATTTAGTTCCTGCAGCAAACAACATGGAATAATAAGAACCACGACACGCACAAAAACTAAACTACAACACAAATGTTCTGAGAGTATAGGTTTAAACAACAGAGCTAGGAGTACCCTTGAAATCATGATCACTTCTTGAACAAACCACGCTTTGCCGCCGTTTTTATAGACTATCCACCAAAGCATCCCTTTCCATATCAACACCTGCCTGTGAGGAACCACCATGTTGCGCCTGAGCACTTTCGGCAGCATCCAATTTCTCCACCTTGATCTTGGACAGTGGAGAAACCAACCTTCAAACAAATAGAGTTTTTCGTTCTAAGAACGCGAGCAATAACACAAATATAAAACAGTAAAAAACTGACAATGTAGAACATAAATACTCACGGCGATGCCGATGGTGACCCGACGGTTGAACCTAAAGTCATTCCAGGAGATGACTCGGGGGATGGCTTTAAAACTTTCGCAGTTGGCATAGATGAGCCGCGACCAACATCCTCGGGGCTCATAGACTCTTCAATTCTTGCTGATCGTCTGGGGATCATTGAAGCAGCAGATTGGACAGATGGTACAACATAATGAACAATAGAGGACATCGCAGCAGGTGCAACAGCTCAGGTAGAGCCCACCTGTACACCCATCGCTGAAACCTGAGAAGCTCCAAAAACCGGTGACTCAGTATCAATATCTTCATTTCTGACATTTGCAGAAATACGGTTTCGGAAATCCCTGGCCTCATAACTGGGAAATCTGCGAATTATAGTAACTGATTCAGATGTCATCCTCGAACAACATTGCAAATTAGCAAAACAAACTCCGGGAACAACGCCAATACCTGCCAATCAGATCTGGTTCATCAGTGATGCTAAATGGCATAGGCGGGGTTTCAATGAGAAGAGAGTCTGAAACTTTTTCCTTTCCCTTCGAGGCCCTTAAGAACACATCACAAATATTTCACTTTAGACATAATACACAGACCAAAGCAAAACACAAAGAAACCAAAGCACCCAACACTGACCTCGATGAACCAGCCCCCCCCCCCCCCCCCCCCCCCCCCCCCCCCGCGATACTCGATGCACGCATCATAGGAGCAGCCAACGGAGGGGGCGAAGAAAACTCAAGCAGATCACCCACCACAGTAGGATCATCAAGACGAACCACCTGGGTCACACGGAATTCTCCCGAGGAGAAACCAGTTGGGCCCGGCAACGACAACCTACAATCAAACTTGACATACTGCCCTCGTAACTGATGCAGTTGTGGGGGCAGCTGACCAGGACGATGGGGGAACCTCTGGGCCAAATGTGCAGCATAAACGTTCACCAGCGTAAGCGCACACCCCCCATCAGTATAAAACGCACCTCACAGGAGTCATCCTTTAGTGTAAGCTGGAGCTTGTAGCTGATGGAAAAAGAACATTAGCAACAAAACCCACAACAGGCAACAAACATACAAAAAAATGACACATGGTCATACTTGACGCGAGTTTGTTCCTCGTCCAACTGCCAATCCTTTGGACACCAAGATGTATCATCACGACGCTTCGAAACAGCCCTCGAACATAACTTGCATGAAATATGATACCAAGGTGTGCTTGACTCGACATCAACAATCACTCCACCACAGCGATACTTCTCTTCCTAAAAAAAAAAAAAAGAGGAGCAAGTTATGTCCAAACATTGGGGAAAATGATAGCAATAGACTTTTAGACGAACACGCAATACCAGTGAGGCATTTGTTCTGGATAACGCCAGCAGATGACTCAAAGTCCTGGTTCAACGATCGGCATCGGCTGTAGCATCAGCGGCAGTAGCAAACTCAACCGGCAAGGATTCAACAACCTCATGTTTCTCAGCAAACCTAATAGAGATCCAAGCACCATAACTTAGACAACATAGGAGCCTTTGCAAAATCCGGACTACATCAACTGCACACAGGAAATCGGCAACAACCCACAACTAACTTACCTAGATGCAAGAAAATAAGCCTTTGGTATAGGAGGATTGACTGATATGTGATAACGATGTAATTGCACATATTTGCGCCCCTAGTTCTTATCCGTTTGAGGGGCATAGTCGTGTGTTTTGGCCTATTTTACGCCGGGTTGTGCTATTTTGTCATGTTTCAGGTCCCAGGCGTTAAAGGGAAGGCTAACCGCGAGTTTCGGGGCATTCGGAAGTCATTTCGATGAGCTGGAGCCAAAACACGGGCAGACCCAAGGCATTACACGGCCGTGTACTGCTGGCCGTGCTTTTTATGCCGAGAGCAAATTTGGTTTGGCCAATTCAGTTGCAAACACGGGCACCGAAGCACGGCCGTGTTTCCACCAGCTGCTGGCCGTGTAATTAAGCCCTGGCCGAGGCACGGGCGGAGTCAGGCAAAGCACGGCCGTGCCCTCGACCGTGCTTTGGCCACTGATGCTTTTAAGCAGATTTTAAGCCACAATTCAAGGGGATTCGAGTTTTTGAGAGAGAGATCAGTTCCTAGAGAGAGAAAGTGACGAGCAAGAGTTCCCAAGTGCCCTAGATTGATCTTCAACACCATTGGAGGCCAGCTTGAGCTTGGGGAAGTGCCAGTCAACGTCCAGAAGCAGGAATCCATCCTTCGCAGTATGAATTCCGTGTCTGATTCTGCTTTTGCTTTCTTCTCCATGGAGTAGTTCTCCCATTCATCTGGGTATGGAGAACCCTAGATTTGTATGTTAGGCTTTGATTGTATGAACCCAAGTACTGATTCTGTAATTGATTATATTCGATTGAGGTTTTAATGATTGAATGACTTGAATCCTGATCAAATTCCTGTTGTTTCTGCTTTAACCTAGAATGAGAATATCTGCCTAGGTTGATAGAGCATCCTTGATTGAAGGTAGGGAGTTGGTGACTTTAGTCGAGGAACCAACTCACTATTCTGTACCGGATTTACTCCGGTAGTGGAGGTTTTGTTCTTAGGGCCTCAATCTGTCGACTCCGGTGGAGGTTAGTCGCCCGCTAGAGAGTCAGATTGAGAGGGTCTGAAGACCTTTAGTCGAGACTTCAGGCTGTTTAAGAACCTTCTGCAGTATCACTGTCATAGAAACTGAACTTGGTAATTACAATCCGGCTTAACTGCAGTCTAGGGGGAACCATATTCGGGTGACCTCTTTAACCTGAATACAACAGTTTACTTGCTTTGTTAGTGTGATAGTTTAGACTTGCATTCCAGTTTTATTGCTAGATAACAAGAACTCAGTGAGTAGTCATCAGATCTAGGACCCGGGTTGATAATTAAACCCAAACCCGCTATACTACGCTTTAGGAAGTGGTTTCACTTGGCCAATTCCTGGAGTGACAGTAGAGTCGAGTCAAGTTTTTGGCGCCGTTGCCGGGGACGGCTAGGTTGTTGAAGAAAAGTGATTTCTGTTAATTTAGCTTTTCTTTTTGTTTTGTTTGCTTTGTCCCACTTGTGCCTTCACGGGTTTGCTTGCTTGAGTGTGTGCAGGTAGTGCATGACCCGTAGCCAGTCAGGAGGTTTACTGCCGTTGAATAGAGAGATTGACCGCACCTGTCGCCAGCTCATGAGACAACAGCGAGCTAGACTGGCTACGGAAGAGCGCATAGACGGCCACGTGAGCAGTGATTCTGAGGAGGAGTACGAGATGGCAGACTACAATCAACACCAGGGGAATCCTCAGCAGGCTCCCCCGGTGAATCAGGTCCTGGGGAACAACCCCATACCCCAGGATCATGGAGCTCATCATCCACCGCAGCCGGGTCCCACCTTGGAGTACTACTACACTCCGCGGATTGCTGACATCCGCCCGGTCATCCTCTACCCGCCGATCCCAGCAAACAACTTCGAGATCAAGCCATGCTGGATTCAGCTCATCACATCTTCTATCCAGTTCCATGGCTTGAAGAATGAGGAGGCCAGGGTGCATCTTTCCCGTTTTCTGCAGCTGACGAACGGGTTCAAGCTGAATGGTGTCCCGGATGATGCAATCCGCCTTCATCTTTTCCCCCATTCTCTGGCGGGGAATGCTAAGAGGTGGTTGAGACCCAGCCCCCATTGTCCATCACCTCTTGGGACGATCTGGCGGACAAGTTCGTGCACAGGTATTATCCGGCATCGAAGACTACAGAGATCCAGCGGGAGATCACTCACTTCCGCCAAGAGCCAGATGAGTCACTTCGTGATGCGTGGGAGCGGTACATGGGCTACTTCTGGCAATGCCCCCATCATGGCTTCAGTGATGCATTCACAGTGGGGAACTTCTACAGTGCCCTCTCTCCAGATAGCCAGAGGGTGATTGAGTCTCTATGCCCAGGAGGGGATATTCTTACCAAGACTCCACCCGAGCTGAACCAGATGATCAGTACTTTGGCTGCCAGAGATCATTCTTGGGGACAGGGTAGCCGAGGCAGACAGTCCCGGGACCGTGGTGTGCACGCCATGGAGACCAGATCCGGGCTCGAGCAGCAGGTAGCTGAGCTAGTGCAGACATTGAAGCAGCCCAACAGTCTAATTCCGGGCAGAGGTTTGGCTACACCTCCAGTAGCTCAATGTCAGTGGTGTGAGAGCTCCAATCACCTAGTGGAGGGCTGCCAGGCTATGAGGGAGTCTACCACACCCCAGGAGCAGTTGGACTTCATCGCCAATGCGAGGCGCCCCGATCCGTACAGTAGCACATATAATGAGGGGTGGCGCCAGCATCCCAACTTCGCCTGGAGCAGCAACACCACTAAACCACATGGTTTCCCAGCACCAGCAGGTGGTTTTCAGCAGAGGCAGCCCTTCTAGGCTCGACAGGGGCCAGACCCACAACAGCCCTAACAGCCAGGCAGGGGCAGCCATTCCAGCAGCCCCAGCGCCAGTTTGCCGAGCCAGCAGCAGCTCCGGCCCCAAATGACAGGATGACGAAGCTGGAAAACATTCTAGCTTCATTCATGACTAGCACTCAGGCTGCTATCACATCACTGGAGGCAGGTCAGCGGAACCAGGGTGCCATTTTGCAGGATCTGCAGACCCAGGTGGGCATCTTGGCCCGCCAGAGCACCACCAGGGCACCGGGGACTCTGCCTGCCACCACTGTTCCTAATCCTCGAGATCCTCACCAGCATCAGCAGCTGGATGCCAGTTTTACCAGGAGCGGTAAGGTGATATCTGCTGATCCTGCCCCGGCCAGACAGGAGGAACAACTACCTGCTTCAGCACTTCCAGCCGACGATGCAGAAGTGCGGGTGGAGAAGGAAGCCCCTGCCCCCAAGCCACAACCAGTGGTTAAGGAGCATGTACCCCAGCTTCCCTTCCCCACTCGTCTACACAAGGACAAGCTGGAGACTGAGTTTGCCAAGTTCATGGCAATGTTGAAGCAGCTCAACATCGGCATACCGTTCATGGAGGCACTGTCGAAGATGCCCAAGTATGCCAAGTTCATGAAAGATATCTGCACCAACAAGAAGAAACTTGGGGATCTCTCGACAGTGATGCTCAGTGAGGAGTGTTCTGCTATCCTGCAGAACAAGCTGCCCGAGAAGCGCAAGGATCCAAGGAGTTTTACTATCCCTCTTACTATTGGCAGCATGCATGTAGGAAAGTCCTTGACGGACCTAGGCGCTAGCATTAACGTCATGCCATATAAGTTGTATAAAATTCTAGACCTAGGTGAATTTAGCCCTACTAGGATGAGCATTCAGTTAGCTGATCGTTCTATCGTGCATCCTAAGGGTATCATTAAGGATCTGCTTGTTAAAGTAGGTACATTCACATATCCTGTTGATTTTGTTATTCTTGCTGTGCATGAGGATGTGGATGTGCCTTTGATTCTAGGTAGGCCATTTCTTGCCACCGCCAAGGCACTTATTGATGTGCATGATGGTAAGTTGATCTTGCGTGCTGGGAATGAACAGGCTACTTTTTCTGTGACTGAGTTTGATCACTGTGTTATGATTGATGTCACGCCTGTGCATGCTATGTCTGATCAGGTACACGAGCCTGTCGTGTATCCTTCTGCACCTCCTATTTTGCAGGACCCTCCTATTATTCCTTCGCCGCCACTCCATCCAGCCTCACCTCCGAACAAAAAGCTCAAGGAGGAGTGGCGACCGAAGCCGCAGGTTGCTAAGCCTGCACGTAAGAAGAGTGGAGACCACTATGAGCTGGTCCCACCTCCTGCACCACGACCACCCTGGCCGTCTGGGTACTCACTCTCCTGCATCTTGCCAGATGGGCAGGTCGAGCTGACTGATGAGGGTGGTCGCATCCGTCGGGTGCATGGCCACAACCTCAAGCTGTACCTCAAGAGCGACGTGGATCCGCTCTTGGAGGCACCTGTTCCTGCACCGCCCTGAGTATCCACCATGGGCGTCCAGCTAAAAGACAGTAAAGAAGCGCTTGTGGGGAGGCAACCCCACCACGGTTTGATTTTCTTTCTTGTGTTTTGAGTCGGATTGTAACCCGGTTTGGGTTTGGTTTGTTTTCTTTTGGTTTGGATGATATTTTATTGGGCTGACCATTGAACCTAACATATTGTGTTTGAGCTGTTCTGTTTTCCTTTGGCTGTGCTTGCCCCGACTGGCCCGTTTCCAGTCTCCTGCAGTCCATGCATACCGGTAACATCGTTTCCCTTATCCTTCCCTCTTCTCCATTGAGGGCAATGTCGAGCTTAAGTGTGGGGGGATGTTTATCTTTTGACTGATGTTTATCTTTTGACTGCATTAGATCTGTTTGTGTGCTTGGAGCCTAGTCCACTGCCCAAATTTTTAAATTTGAGGGCTCCAAGTACGTGTTTCCATGCAATTTCCTGCTCAGTATGCTTTGAATTGACAATCTTTATAGTAATATGCAACCTAGGGAGGTAGTGTAGCACTATGGAGGATGTTGATGCATTTAAGAAGTCTCATTTCTTCTTCATATTGAGTTGGTTGATTGAGTGAATTAGTGATCTTAGGACTCTTGAATTGTGTGGTGTTGTGGATTCTCTACCTGTCATGGACTCTTGTGTCATGTTTTGAAAATAACAGGTGCTCGAAAATGTGCTTCAAAATAAACGTCTCCCGTGCGAATAGGGCGAAAGTGTGTAAGGGGAGACGGGAATCCGTTCCCAATTTCCACCTACTACCTCCAGCCTCCTTACATGTCTTTCCCCCACACGAGGCTCGAGACATCCGCTCCTGGCATGGCCGGTAAGAGCAGGTTGGGACCCTTGAAAAGAAAAGAAAAATAACAGAAAACAAGCAAAACAGAAAAAAAAGGGGTTCCAACCATCTTTAAGCAGAAAATAGAGCACCTTGAAAAATGTGAGTCCATGATCTTTTGTTTTTGAGAATCTCTTCATCCACGATTCATTTGTCCTCTGTTCACTGTTTGCCATGATGCCGACTCGCCGAGGAAGCTATGAGATGACTTGTGCGTCGGTTGACCTCGTAAGTTGCTAAATGATCTAGGAAGTCCTCTGCCTAAGATCTGGGTTGTTTGTTGCTATGGAGGTCTGGAGAGTTGCATTGGTTTGAGTTAGGTTTGCTTGTGGACAAGCAAACGGTTAAGTGTGGGGGAATTTGATAACGATGTAATTGCACATATTTGCGCCCCTAGTTCTTATCCGTTTGAGGGGCATAGTCGTGTGTTTTGGCCTATTTTACCCCGGGTTGTGCTATTTTGTCATGTTTCAGGTCCCAGGCGTTAAAGGGAAGGCTAACCGCGAGTTTCGGGGCATTCGGAAGTCATTTCGGTGAGCTGGAGCCAAAACACGGGCAGACCCAAGGCATTACACGGCCGTGTACTGCTGGCCGTGCTTTTTATGCCGAGAGCAAATTTGGTTTGGCCAATTCAGTTGCAAACACGGGCACCGAAGCACGACCGTGTTCCACCAAAGCACGGCCGTGTCCATCGCGAAGCACGGCCGTGTTTCCACCAGCTGCTGGCCTTGTAATTAAGCCCTGGCCGAGGCACGGGCGGAGTCAGGCAAAGCACGGCCGTGCCCTCGACCGTGCTTTGGCCACTGATGCTTTTAAGCAGATTTTCAGCCACAATTCAAGGGGATTCGAGTTTTTGAGAGAGAGATCAGTTCCTAGAGAGAGAAAGTGACGAGCAAGAGTTCCCAAGTGCCCTAGATTGATCTTCAACACCATTGGAGGCCAGCTTGAGCTTGGGGAAGTGCCAGTCAACGTCCAGAAGCAGGAATCCATCCTTCGCAGTATGAATTCCGTGTCTGATTCTGCTTTTGCTTTCTTCTCCATGGAGTAGTTCTCCCATTCATCTGGGTATGGAGAACCCTAGATTTGTATGTTAGGCTTTGATTGTATGAACCCAAGTACTGATTCTGTGATTGATTATATTCGATTGAGGTTTTAATGATTGAATGACTTGAATCCTGATCAAATTCCTGTTGTTTCTGCTTTAACCTAGAATGAGAATATCTGCCTAGGTTGATAGAGCATCCTTGATTGAAGGTAGGGAGTTGGTGCTTTAGTCGAGGAACCAACTCACTATTCTGTACCGGATTTACTCCGGTAGTGGAGGTTTTGTTCTTAGGGCCTCAATCTGTCGACTCCGGTGGAGGTTAGTCGCCCGCTAGAGAGTCAGATTGAGAGGGTCTGAAGACCTTTAGTCGAGACTTCAGGCTGTTTAAGAACCTCCCGCAGTATAACTGTCATAGAAACTGAACTTGGTAATTACAATCCGGCTTAACTGCAGTCTAGGGGGAACCATATCCGGGTGACCTCTTTAACCTGAATACAACAGTTTACTTGCTTTGTTAGTGTGATAGTTTAGACTTGCATTCCAGTTTTATTGCTAGATAACAAGAACTCACTGAGTAGTCATCAGATCTAGGACCCGGGCTGATAATTAAACCCAAACCCGCTATACTACGCTTTAGGAAGTGGTTTCACTTGGCCAATTCCTGGAGTGACAGTAGAGTCGAGTCAATATGCGAGTAGCAGCAGAACTCGACAGAACATAATCATCTGAAAAGTATAATAAAAGACGACAAAAACTATAACATACTAATAGACCACATACTAATAGACCACACTCAATCTGACGAAACCGTGCATGCAATAAGGAAGCAACAACATACTTCCCAGCTTATTAACCAGCAATCCGCCAAATACCAAAATCACAGCTTCAATCTAGTCAGCCTGAGTCAAAGAAACTTGATCCAACACCGCAGAAAACTCATCGTAGAGCGTAATCGAGACCTTCGCTCCGCTGAGAAAAAAAAAGGACACGTAAGAGAAACAGAGAACAAACACGACACTCACAACCGAACCAATAAACACAGGAAAACGCAAAACACCTTTCATCCTCAACTATGACCGTCTGCTTGACTGCAGGACCGTTGTTTGTGATCTTGTGCGATATCCCGCTGATCGAACAAAGCAAATCCAACAAAAACAAACCTACTAACCTGTCAAATAACGATGGTTACCTGCACGCAAATTCAACTGAGAGAAAGCCACAAACTCGTAAGCATCAAGTGGGAAACTTTCAGCAGGCAGAACACAGGGCTGAAAAGAAGCCGAAGGCGAAAGACCCAGAGCCAAATCAAAGGAACAGGCCCGATAGTGATTCGGCGGATTGCTCAGGGCAAAAGTCTTTATTACGTATATCTTGCCAACCGAGAGATTACGGCGAATCCCAGCAGCCATCGAAGTCAGTGAGACGCCCTGTATCAGCATACCCTGTGCAAAACACACCAGCCTGCCGCATGAACAAAGCGAAGAGGGCACAACAAACGGGGGCAAGAAAGAAAAGGTGAGAAGGACAAAAACTTAACCGTTTCGTCGACCCAAATAGTACAGTAATTGTAGATCCTAATGTCCCCCCGAGACTTCGCCGGCCACACATGCAGCAGTCGGAGCCGCAAAGAAACGCTGGCATTGCGAGGACCTCCAAGGTTACAAAGCAACGTAAACTCCATGGTTCGGGAAAAGAAGAGCACCAAAGAGAGAGGAAGAAATTTTTGAGAAAGAAAACAGAATGACAGGAGGGAAGTTCCGGCGCCACGAAAGATAAAAAAATGAAGGAAAGAATGAACACACGTGATAGTACTGCATGTCAGTTACCGGTCCAATGACGAAAGAAAACGTAAAAAATGGGAAAAGACACTGCGATTGACAAAAAGATAAGGACAACGTAAAATCAAAGAACCGCCAATGAAACCATAAAAAGCAACGAAGGATTCCAGGCGCCGAAGCGGCGGTTGTCAGATATCAGGCCAAACACAAAGGAAACCGCTCCCCCCAGGCCCAAATGCAAAACGCCGTATATAAAATGGCGCGCCCATCATTGGCCGAAATACAGGAAGACAAGAAACAAAACCCACGTGCAAGAGAAGAGCAGTGCGTGTAATAATTATATGGGGCAGCCTCAGGGGAAATGATAGAAAGAAGCAGAAACCGCAGGAAAAATAAGCGTCCATTTGAGGGCAACGTGACACACCCAGGAACAACAGAAAACAAATAAAAAACCGGCCCACACACAGTTGAGCAGCCAATAAGAAAATGTGGCCGCAAAGTATGGACCAATCAGGGGAGGGTGAACAGTAATTTTGAGTATAAATGAATAGTAAATTATGTCTAGATAAACAGTAACGTGTCTTTGCAAATAACTTGTTTTAATTGTCAAATACAATTGTGTCCACCAAATTCGAACTATGTACAAATACAATAGTTCAATCAATTCTAGCAAGGAGCAAAATAGAGAACAGGCTCGCTTGCTTGTTTTGATGGTGGAGCTGGTAGCTTTAGTTTATTGTGTGTTTTGCTGGGCCTGAGGATGTATTACTGCCCTCTGCCCGACCATCTGTTTCTTTATTATTCTTGTTCATTTTCATTAATTTTAATAGATGATTCACCATCATAATAAAATAGCAACGGAAGAAAAAGCCAAATTATATTAGGGTCCTTTCAAAAAATTAAGAATTCACTTACCTTCTTGGTATTTCGACTTCTCTCAGCCGCGAGCAGATTCGGTGAGTAAACTTGTGTTGAGTAACCCTATGCATAACCAAATAAGAATCTCTCACATCAGCGCCTCCTTCTCTCTCCTGGAAAAATTATTAAATAACATCATACCATATGATATGAAAAATACCACCTCATACCAAGGTGTAGGGGTGATAGTCGGTTCGGTTTCGGTTTAACCGAACAGATCGAGCGGTTAACCGAGACCAAAACTGGGCTGAAACCTCTAACTGAAGCCGACACCGAATAAGACTGCGGTTATCCGACACCGAAACCGCCTGTTTCGGCTCGGTTCGTCGGTTATTGTGTAACCGAAAAATTCTTTTAAAAAAGAAAAAATATGGTGCATTCTCTCTCCTTTCACACTTTCCCTTTCTCCATTT